AAAAAATAGCTAAACGATACTCCAAATACCAAAAATATTTAAAATATTTATTTATTTATTTTCCAAATATTTATGATAAAGCAATTTTATGTTAAGTTTAAGTATTTTGGCATTCATTTTTCAAATTTATATGTTATATATTATTTTTTACTTTTAGATTTTGAAAATTTTAAAGTATATATGAATTTCAATCTTTTTTATAAAAAAATAAATGGATTATCCGAAACTAAACTCAATCTGAACCTGCAAAAATTCGAACCAAACCGCAAAGATCTAAACCAAACAAAATCTAACCGAACCAAATGGTATCCAAATGCCTATCTCTAATAAAATGTAAAAAAATTATGATAGCAAAATATATATTTAAATACAACATATTTTTAAAAATCTCACTCCGCGAATTGCGCGGGTTATCATCTAGTTTGGTTATTATTGTTAAATAACTACAACAGTTGCTGGCGATTATAGTACTGATACAGTGATGAAGGTGATGATGATAGGTTGAATCTCTTGATATGTCATCAATGCATCCATCACATGGGCTTCTTTATGGTCACCCCAGTATCCCATTAGGGAAATTCATATATACCTTACTATTTATGTATACATTCTGTATATTCATTTTTTTTCATACTACTGCTACTACTTAAGTATATATACATGACAAATATCTTAATTATCTTCCCACAAATATTTTTGTTGATGTTGTGACAGAATTGGCATAATTGTATGTATAAGCTCGTAACTCGTAAGCTAATTAATGTATAAACACTTCAGGATGAGTATTTGCACTCGTAATTGCATTTTTAGGATACTTTTATATACTACACATCATCACATATTCATGAGGAGTTGTTAACTATATTAGAAACAATAAATTGAATTACTTTTTTCTATTTTTTAAATGAAAAATTCAGTATGCATTAATATACACTGAGCCAGAGCCTATGATTCAATCTCTAACATGTTGAAGGCTCTGTAAATGTTGTACCTGACTACCTGGTGTTTAGTGGATAAGTTAGAGGTGATGACATCTTTTGAAGCTAATGATAACATGTCAAAAAGAAACTCCAAAGTTTACCAAAAAGACAAAAGAACTTTCATTTAAAATCATCTAGTTGAATTTATTTTCACAGAATACAAAATGTAAGCTAAGTAAAGTAAAATCCACAAGAAGTGATAAATAAGTAGGTATCAGTTAACCATATAAATAATGAGCTTTAACAAAAATACAAAAGAGAACTGAACTAGTCTTGACATCATTTAGTAAAAAGAACCTTTACACTAACTGGTTGAACAAATCTCAAAAAAAAAAAAAAATCCTTCTGTAGGTACAAGGAATATGAACATTTAGAAAAGTAGGAAACATTATTGGCATATATTTGGTTCGTAAACTATAGACACATACACACACGTGCACACAGTGTGAGTTGTATATAATTGAGAGATCGAGACATAAAATGAGAACCCATCATCTTTGGTTGTATTGTATCTTAAGTACAGACAGAGAAGCATGTTTTGGTGACCATAAGGGACATATCTCTTCCGCACGTGTATCTCTCTGCAATTCTTTTTATTTTTATTTTTGTCCTTTACCCCCAATTTTCCTTGACATTTGTTCACAACTAAGAATTGATAAGTTTGATACTAACGTTGAATCCCAATATTTGATCCAGAGAATGTATAGGAAAAAAGTCTATGGATTCCCACATATATGGTTTCTAATTCAATTAAACATATAGTGAAACAAGTGAATGTCTCAATAGACGTATTTAAAACGACTAAGTATATGGTTCTGAAACAAAAGACTATAGGGTGAAGAGTATACTTTCTATCATGCAGCATGGTGGTGACTGTTGGTAGAAGACTTGTGGATGCCAGAAAATGCTTTTATACTTGTATAAACCTTGTCCAAGCTTAATAAAATGCGTTAAGCAAACCAAAATATACATATATGTTCGTCTATGTAAAGCTAGCCTCCTACTGCCTTAGACCATTATCACATGGCTTACACAATGAGGCGAAATACAATGATAAAAAATAAACAACTAAGAAAAAGCTTGACTCAATCCAAACAAATAGTGTATACACATTCTTTAATGTTCAAAAGACAAAAAAAATCATTATAGACGATGCTTACCAATCCTTTTACCATATAATATCACTACTTGTTGTTGTTGTTGTTGTTCTCTGGATCTTCCTTTGCTCATACTCTGCATCATCTGTAGGCAATTCATAACGACAAACAGGACATGTGTTCCTCGTTTCCAGCCACGGTACAATGCATTCAGTATGATACTTATGATCACAAGGCAACCCAACAGCTTTTGTTCCGATATTCATCTCATCTTTACAAACCGCACAGACCACACCTTCATCGTTCTCAACACCCAACTGAACCATTGGGAGATCTTTAATGAAAGATTTAGAAGTTGGAGGTAAACGGAGATTGGTTATCCCAGCTTCAGCAAACTGTTCAAACAACGTATCATACTCAGTTGTATGAATGTAATCATCATGATCACCAGCGATATAGATCTCTCTGTTTTCCCCATCAAAGTTGATCTCTAGCGTATGAGAGTTCAGCAACACTTCCCATTCGAGATTCCCAGATCCCTCTGTTCTTTCCCCTGTAGCTAAACCTTCTAAAGAAACCATCGGTGAGATGGAGATAGAAACAGAATTACCATCACTGATATCAGCTTCTGCAAAACCGGTTAGTATCTCTATCTCCCTTTCATCCTCCAAACCTTCCCCACCATCATCAATTTCTGCAAAACCGGTTAGTATCTCTATCTCCCTTTCATCATCCACCAAACCACCACCATCATCACCAACTTCTTCCCAATCAAACTCCTCAGCAGCTACTCCACGATCTTCTACTTGGAGTGAATCCCAACAAAGAGGTATACTCACACTAACATCATCATCATCACCATAAACATCATCATCATAAACATCATCACCATTCAAATCAATCCCCCACATCTCCCTCTCATTCTCATCATAATCATCAACAACATCATCAGAATCGGATTCAATTGTAATCAACCGAATATCACTTCCTAACGATGTGAAATCACGAAATTCAAGCACAGAATCTCTCCTCTCAACGAAGAGATCATCAGGTTCATCAATATAACTATCATGACCTAAATTATCAATTGAAACGCTTCCCGATCCCAATCCTAATTCAATAACCATGTCGCAATCTCCCTCTACCACACAGCGAGATTCCGTTTCATCGTCGTGAGGAAAGGTTACCTGAGACTGCTCAACGCGCTGGTATGACGGATCCATAACGAAGCTTGCGCCTCTGGGATTGAATCGGAGAGCAATTCGTCGCCGGAAACAACGGCGGCGGAAGAATAATCGGTCTGCGAGAAATTGAATCGGTGATCTGAAGGAATGATGATATCCGCCAAGATGGGCTGGAGTTGGGCTTAACTGGCCCATGTACGGCCCATGTTTTATTTTTTTATTTTTTCACGACAGCATTTATCATGCCTTTATTACTTGACTAGAAAAGGGAATATGTTAAAGAATAAAGAAGAAGGTTGTAACTCTCATTGTCTTATTCATCACGTGCACATACATATATATACATACAAGAGAATAAGCATATTCCTTAGGAGATAAGGATTACAACAATAAAGGGATGATTATCCTAATCCTATAATGATTAGGATAACTACAACATATGGATAAATACAAGGGAGGATAATGACAAGTCT